TTCTTGTCTTCTGCTAGCTTTTGAGTTTTTTTGATCTTTCTCTCTAACTCTTTCAATTTTGATGATAGGGTATTGATTTTAGACCTTTCCTTGTTCCTCATTTGGGTATTTATTGCTATAAATTTCCCTCTAGACACTGCTTTAAATGTGTCCCAGAGATTCTGGTATGTTGTGTCTTTGTTCTCGTTGGTTTCAAAGAACATCTTTATTTCTGCCTTCATTTCATTATTTATCCAGTCTACATTCAAGAGCCAGTTGTTCATTTTCCATGAAGTTGTGTGGTTTTGAGTTAGTTTCTTAATCCTGAGTTCTAATTTGATTGCACTGTGGTCAGAGAGACTGCTTGTTATGATTTCTGTTGTTTTGCATTTGCTGAGGGGTGATTTACTTCTAATTATGTGGTTGATTTTAGAGTAATTGCAATGTGGTGCTGAGAAGAATGTATATTCTGTGGATTTGGGGTTAAGAATTCTGTAAATGTCTATTAAGTTCACTTGGTCCAGATCTGCATTCAAGTCCTGGATTTCCTTGTTGATTTTCTGTCTTGTTGATCTTTCTAATATTGACAGTGGAGTGTTGAAGTCTCTCACTATTATTGTGCGGGAGTCTAAGTCTCTTTGTAGGTCATTAAGGACTTGTATTATGTATCTAGGTGCTCCTGTATTGGGTGCATATATATTTAGGATCATTAGCTCTTCTTGTTGTATTGATCCTTTTACCATTATATAATGCCCTTCTTTGCCTCTTTTGATTTTTGTTGGTTTAAAGTCCTTTTTATAAGAGACTAGGATTGCCACCCCTGCTTTCTTTTTGCTCTCCATTTGCTTGGTAAATCTTCTTCCATTTCTTTATTTTGAGTCCATGTGTGTCTTTGCACATGAGATGGGTCTCCTGAATACAGCACACTGATGGTTCTTGGCTTTTTATCCAATTTGCCAGTCTGTGTCTTTTGATTGGGGCATTTAGTCCATTTACATTTAATGTTAATATTGTTATGTGTGAATTTGATCCTGGCATTTTATTACTGGTTGGTTGTTTTGCCCTTTGGTTGGTGTAATTTCTCCATTGCATCGTTGGCCTTTACCATTTGGTTCTTTTTTGCAGTGGCTGGTACTGGTTTTTTCTTTCTGTGTTTAGTGCTTCCTTCAGGAGCTCCTGCAGGGCAGGTCTGGTAGTGACAAAATCTCTCAGCAATTGCTTGTGCATAAAGGATTTCATTTCTTCTTCACTTAAGAAGCTTAGTTCGGCTGGATATGAAATTCTAGGTTTGAAGTTCTTTTGTTTAAGGATGTTGAATATTGGCCCCCACTCTCTTCTGGCTTATAGGGTTTCTGCCGAGAGATCTGCTGTGAGTCTGATGTGCTTCCTTTTGTGAGTGATCTGACCTTTCTCTCTGGCTTCCCTTAGTATTTTTTCCTTTGTTTCAACCCTGGTGAACCTGAAAATTATGCACCTTGGGGTTGTTCTTCTAGAGGAGTATCGTTGTGGTGTTCTCTGTATTTCCTGTATTTGAATGTTGGCCTGCCTTGCTAGGTTGGGGAAGTTCTCTGGGATAATATCCTGAAGAGTGTTTTACAGCTTGGATTCATTTTCCCTGTCATCTTCTGGTATACCCCGATCAGGCGTAGATTAGGTCTTTTCAGGTAATCCCATATTTCTTAAAGGCTTTGTTCATTTCTTTTCACTCTTTGTTCTCTTTTCTTCCCTTCTCGTTTTATTTCATTGAGTTGATCTTCAATCTCTGGTATCCTTTCTTCTGCTTGATCTATTTGGCTATTGAAACTTGTGTATGCTTCATGAAGTTCTTGTGGTGTGTTTTTCAGCTCCATCAAGTCATTTATGTTCTTCTCTAAGCTGGTTATTCTAGTTAGCATTTTGTCTAACCTTTTTTTCAAGGTTTTCAGTTTCTTTGCATTGGGATAGAACATGTTCCTTTAACTCAGAGAAGTTTGTTATTACCCACCTTCTGAAGCCTGCTTCTGTCAATTCGTCAAATTCATTCTCCATCCTGCTTTGTTCCCTTGCTGGTGAGGAACTGCCCAGCTAATTTTTATATTTTTAGTAGAGATGGAGTTTTGCCATGTTGGCTAGGATGGTCTTGATCTCTTGACCTCGTGATCTGTCACTTTGACCACCCAAAGTGCTGGGGTTATAGGCATGAGCCACCAGTCCTGGCCAACACTGTGTAGTTTTTAATCTAAAAATATATTTTTTTCATCTTTTAATAAATTATTTCAATTTACTTCAACATTTTGTTGGATATAACTCACACACCATAAAATTCACCACTTTCAACTTTACAACTGAGTGTTTTTGGTATATTTTCAAGGTTATGCAACTATCATCTCTACATAATTCCAGAAAATTTTGTTCACCTTAAAAATAAACCTCATACACAATAACTACCTGTTTCTCCCTCCCCAAAGGCCCTGGCAAGTGTTAATTTAGTTTTCATCTCGAAGAATTTGCCCATTATGGACGTTTAATATGAATGGAATTATACAATCTGTGGCCCTATGTATCGGGCTTCTTTCATTTTCCATAATGTTTTCAAGCTTTATCCATGTTGTAGTATGTGTCAGTATTTTATTCCTTTTCATGGCTAAATAATATTCAGTTGTGTAGATATATGGCATTTTGTTTATCCATTCATCAGTAGACATTTGGGTTGTTTTTTGGCTGTTATGAACAACATGCTATGAACAATCATGTATGAGTTTTCATATGAATATATGTTTTCACTTGTCTTGGGTTTACTCTAGAGGTAGAATTGCTGAGTCATACAGTAACTCTGTTTAAGTTTTTGAATAACTGCCAAATTGTTTCCCAAAGATGGTGCAGCATCTTTGGGAAACAATTTGGCAATGTAAATTTCCAAATGATTTGGAATGTAAATGAAGCATTTTACATTCCCATCAGTAATTTATGGGGTTCCAATTTCTGCATTCTCTCCAACACTTGTTATTTTTCAGTTTTTTGAATATAGCCATGTAGTGGGTGGAAAGTAGTATCTTATTGTGGTATTAATTAGCATTTCTCTAGTGACTAATGATATTCAGCCCTTTTCATGTACTGCTTACTGGCCATTTTTGTTTTTTCTTTGGAGAAATGGCTATTTAAATCCTTTGCCCATTTAAAAAGTGGATTGTTTGTCTTTTTATCACTGAGTTGTAAATGTTCAATATATATTATGTATATTAGTCTCCTATCAGATAAATGATTTGCAAATATTTTCCCTCCAACTGTGAGTAGTATTTTCATTTTTTTGATAGTATCCTTTGATGCATAAATGGTTTTTATTTTGATGATATTGTGTTTATTTATTTATTTTTCTTTTGTTGTTTGTGCTTTGTCATATTTTAGACATTATTTAATCCTAAGTCACAAAGACTTACACCTCTGTTTTATTCTAAGGGTTTTATGGTTTTAGCTCTGAAATTTAGGTCTTCAGTGCATTTTGAGTTAATTTTTATCTATGGTATAAGGGAGGAGTTTAACTTCATTCTTCTGCCTGTGGCTGTCTAGTTGTGCTGGTACCATTTGTTGAAAAGACTACCTATTGAATAGCCCTAGCACCTTTGTCAAAAATCAATTGACCATAAAGTATGGGTTTATTTCTGAACTCTCAACTCTTATTTCATTGACCTATATGTTTTTCTCTATGCCAGCAGCACACAGTCTTGATTATTATAGCTTTGTACTGAGTTTTAAGATTGGGAAATGTGAGTCCTTCAACTGTGTTCTTTTTATTTATTTTGGTTATTTGTTGTCCCTTGTATTTCCATATGATTTTTAAGACTAGTTTGTCATTTTCTTAAAACAAAACAAAACAAAACAAAACAAAAAAGGCAGGTGGAATTTTGATGGGGAAATTGAATCTGTAGATCAATTTGGGGAGTATTGTCAGGTTAACAATATTAAGTTTTGCAATCCGTGAGCATAAGACTTAGTAGCTGTAATAGTTTTTTAGTGGATTCTTGAGGATTTTCTATATGCAAGATTGTATCATCTGCAAATATGGATACTTTTAATTCTTTGTTTCGAATCTAGATGCCTTTAAAAAAATTTTTTTCTTATGTAATTGCCCTGGTTATAACCTTTAATACAATGTTGAATTGCTGTGGCATGGGTGGACATCATTGCTTGTTCATCATCTTAGGGGGAAAGCTTTTAACCTCTCACCAGTAAGTATAGATAGCTGTGGGTTTTTGTAGATGCCCTTAATTAGGTTGAGGAATTTCCCTTCTATTCCTATTTTGTTGAGTGTTTTTGTTTTTGTTTTTAATCACAAAAGGGAGTTGAATGTTGTCAGATGCTTTTCCTGCATCTATACTATGTTATTTTTGTCCTTTATTAGTGTCATGTATTACATTGATTCAGTTTTGTATGTTGAAGCAACTTTGAATTCCTTAGATAAATTCCATTTGTCATGGCATATAATCCTTTTTATATATTGGTAGATTTGGTTTGCTAGTGTTTTCTTGAGGACTTTTTTTTTTTTTTTTTTTGAGATGGAGTCTCGCTCTGTCACCCAGGCTGGAGTACAGCAGTGTGGTCTCAGCTCACTGAAGCTCTGCCTCCCAGGTTCAAGTGATTCTTCTGCCTCAGTCTCCTGAGTAGCTGGGATGACAGGCCCACACCTCCATCTCCAGCTAATTTTTGTATTTTTAGTAGAGACAGGGTTTTGCCATGTTGGTCAGGCTGGTACTTGAACTCCTGACCCCAAGTGATCCACCCACGTTGGCCTCCCAAAGTGCTGAGATTACAGGTGTGAGCCACCACACCCGGCCTTGTTAGGGATTTTTATGTCTGTACTGTCTGTATTCTTAAGGCTTGTTAATCAGTAGTTTTCTTGTGATCTCTTTGTCTGGTTTTGGCCTTAGAGAATGAGTTGGGAAGTATCCTTTACACCTTGTGAATGATTGGTGTTCATTCTTCTTTAAATGTTTGGTAGGATTGAATAGTGAAGCCATCTGTTTGTAAACTTTCCCTGGTGGAAAATTTTTAAAATACTCAATATCTTTACTTCCTTTAGGTTTTTTTCAGATGTACTATTTTTTGAGTTAGTTTTGATAGTTTCTTTCTAGGAATTTGTGAATTTCACCTAGCTTATCCAATTTGTTGGCCAACAGTTCATAATATTTCTTTATAATCCTTTTATTTCTATGAGGTTGGTAGTTTTCTTTCTGATTTTAGTAAATTGAGTCTTCCCTCTTTTTGTTCCTGGTCATTCTAGATAAAGGTTTGTCAGTGTTGTTGGTCTTTTCAAAAAACAACTTTGGTTTCATTGTTTTTTATTTTCTATCTCATTTTTGCCCCAATATTTGTTTTTTCTTTCTTTTGCTTGCAAAAATTTAGTTGGCTCTTCTATAATGTCTTAAGTAGAACTTTAGGTTATCAATTTGAGATGTTTCTTTTTTAATATGTGTTTACAGCTCTAACTTTGTAAGAACTGCTTTCACTGCCTTTCATAAGTTTTGATATGTTGTACTTTTTTTTTTTTTTTTTTCTGTGAGACAGGGTCATGCTCTGTCATCCAGGCTAGAATGTATTGGTGCCATCACAAGTCACTGCAGCCTTAACCTTGATTCTCCTGAGGTCAAACCACCTTCCCACCTCAGCCTCCTGAGTAGGTGGGACCACAGGTGCATTCCCCAATGCCTGGCTAATTTTTTTTTTTTTAATATTTGTGAGACACAGGGTCTTGCCATTTTGCTCAGGCTGGTCTCGAACTCCTGGGCTCAAGCAGTCCTCTCACCATGGCCTCCCAAAATGCTGGGATTACAGGAATTAGCCACTGTGCCTGGCCTCATTTTTAATGATCTCAAAGTATTTTCTAATTTTCCTTGTGGTTTCTTCCTTGACTTTTTGGCTATTTAGCAGTGTATTGTTTGATTTCCACAGACTTTTGCATTTCTTAATTTTCTATCTGTTACTGATTTCTATTTTTTATCCCTGTGTTTAGGGAACATATTTTGTATTATTCCAGTCTTTAAAAATTTTAAGACTTATTTTCTTGCCTAACACCTGGTCTGTTCTAGAGAATGTTCCATGTGTATTTGAGAATAATATGTTTTCTGCATTTTGCATGGAGAATTCTTTTTGTTGTTGTTGTTGTTGTTGTTTTTGTTTTTATTACATTTTAGGTTTTGGGGTACATGTGAAGAACATGCAAGATTGTTGCATAGGTACCCACGTGGCAGTGTGATTTGCTGCCTTCCTCTCCATCACCTATATGTGGCATTTCTCCCCATGCTATCTCTCCCTAACTCCCCAACCCCTGCTGTCCCTCCCCTATTTCCCCCAAACAGACCCAAGTGTGTAGTGCTCCCCTCTCTGTGTCCATGTCTTCTCATTGTTCAAACACCCGCCTATGAGTGAGAACATGTAGTGGTTGATTTTCTGCTCGTGTCAGTTTGCTGAGAATGATGGTTTCCGGGTTCATCCATGTCCCTACAAAGAACACGAAATCATCGATTTTGATGGCTGCATAATATTCCATGGTGTATATGTGCCACATTTTCCCTGTCCAGTCTATTATCGATGGGCATTTGGGTTGGTTCCAGGTCTTTGTTATTGTAAACAGTGCTGCAATGAACATTTGTGTGCATGTGTCCTTATAGTAGAATGATTTATAATCCTTTGGGTATATACCCAGTAATGGGATTGCTGGGTCAAATGGAATTTCTATTTCTAGGTCCTTGAGGAATCACCACACTGTCTTCCACAATGGTTGAACTAATTTACACTCCCACCAACAGTGTAAAAGTGTTCCTATTTCTCCACAT